GAACAACGTCCTCCTCCGGCATAAGTTTCAGCGCATATCTCGAGACCGCGGCCACAAGACTTGCACGTCGCAGTACAAGAGCTTCCGCGACGATCAACGAGGCCCAAGGGATTGGCATGTGCCACGATCCCCCCTGCCACTCTGCCTCTATTGGTCGTCGTTGCGATGGAGACTGATCGTTGCCATCGTTGACCGCGCGATCGGGTAGCGGGTCCACACGTGGCCCCCAGTGGTTATGGCCGTTGAGGTGGCCGCGATGGTCGTCGAGGCTAACGTCCGCGATGTAGTGGCTCTCGTGATGGCACGAATGTGGCGTCGCGTATATCCCCGATGCCGCGCTGACCACATGGACCCCTCGCCAGTCGCGTTGGTCCGCAGGAACGCGGCCCCCCATCTCGTCGAGCGTAGACCTTCGCGAGATGTTAGGTCCAGCCAGGAAAGGCACGCCGTTGCGGATCAACCCGTAGCCGAACTGGTCCTTGTCAATGAATCGCGCTGGTCCTCGCAATTGTCGACGCAGGTCACGCATGCCACCTGTCCGCCAGTAGCGAGCCCATCCGCCGCCCTCACATGGCGCGCGTAAACGCATCATCCTTGATCGCACTGCTCGTCGTCAAGCATTGCTTTCGGCCGCCTGGTGAGGGGGCCGCTTCGCGAAGCTGATGCCGCATGCGTGGCCCTTCAGCAACCTGTCTTGCAATCACTGGGTCGGCGTTGCGTTTGCCCAAAAATGCCAGCAGTGAGGGGTTCCCGCCGCGCGCCCACTGCGCTGGGGAGAAATCCTTCTCTTTCGACAGCCAGCTCATACTCTGGGCAATGGGAGATCCAACAACGCGCGCGCCCGTCGTCTATAACTTCGAGGCCCCTGAAAACCCCGTGGAACATCTCCCTGTAGTCGCGAATGCCCCTATCCACTTTGCCATGTCGACGGCGTTCCGCAGGGGCCACCGGATGGCAGGGCGCCCCGAGATCTTCGCGCGTGGCTTGGATTCCCGACAAGAAGGCTGCGTCTTGATCAATCGTGAACAACTGCGGCATCAGTAGGTTACTTTGCCAGCCTTCCAGGAGCGCCGCGTCGGCGCGATGCGACGTGGAACTCAGCCCGCGGCATTTCCGATTAATGGCCCACTGAATAGCACAATAGTCGGCAGACTTGCGGGGCATGACCGTGAGGGCGCGCGCGTTGCCGCTGAAGTCGGGCACGCAGGAAACGCCCACGTCGAAGCGCGAATAAAGCTCGAGCAACTTCGGCACACTGGCCACAAGTTGAGCACGCGGTCTAGCCGGTGAGTCGCACAACTCGCGCTTGGACAGCACGGCCGCTGAAATTGCGGGCAACGGGTCGAGATCGCAACTGGCCGGGTGAGGCCGCAACCGGACGGGCGAGATCCCAACCGTCCAGAGCCCCAGGCACGGTCATATCCCGAACGAGAATTAAGCCAGTGAAGAAAGCAGCTTGATCATTACCAGCGCCGTGAACTGCAATCTGAAGCCCCAGTGGAAACCTTAGAGGAACGAGCGCACGAGTGAGCTTTAGCGGTTGGGAACTCGCCTGTCTTTCACTGCATCGTAGTAGTACTGATAGCAGTAACAGTAGCAGTAGCAGTAGTAGTAGTAGTAGTAGTAGTAGTAGTAGTAGTAGTAGTAGTAGTAGTAGTAGTAGTAGTAGTAGTAGTAGTAGTAGTAGTAGTAGTAGTAGTAGTAGTAGTAGTAGTAGTAGTAGTAGTAGTAGTAGTAGTAGTAGTAGTAGTAGTAGTAGTAGTAGTAGTAGTATAGTAGTAGTAGTCCCACCAGCCCTTTGGGCGTGAGTGGTTTAGAGAGCCCGCTCTGTCCTCAACCCCCCTTCTTCCCCTTCGGGGAGGGGTTTACCCCTCCCCCTACCCCCTCCCCCTGGGCCTGGAGAGAGGCCCCGGCGGGTGGTCAGGGGGGTCTTTTTCGACTCCTGGGAGGGTCAAAAAACGACGACCCTCACGAGGATTCTGGCCCCGAGGGGGGGGGGAGTTTGGCCCCTCTGCTCTTCTTCGAAGCAAGAAAACATTGATTTTACTACGGTTTTGGCCCCATGTTGGCCTTCTGAGGGGGCCGCGCTCCTCTTCCTTCATAGCAAAATTATTCATTTTACGAAGGGTTTGGCCTCATTTTGTCCTTTTCAGGGGGCAGCTCTCATTGGCGCGTCTGAGGAGGTCGCACGAGGCCCCAAGATGGCCCCAAGAGGCCCCAAGGAAGCTCCCAAGAGGCCTCCAAGAGGCCCCCCAGAGGCCTCCAAGCGGTCCCAAGAGGCCCCAAGAAGCGCCCAAGAGGCCCCCAAGAGGCCTCAAGAGGGCCCACGAGGCCCCCAAGAGGCCCCCCAAGAGGCCCCCAAGAGGCCCCCAAGAGGCCCCAAGAGGCTCCAAGAGGCCCCCAAGAGGCCCCACGAGGAGCCCGAACGACTCACACCAGGACCTCTGGGCCCGAACGACTCACACCACGAAGAGCCCGAACGACTGCTACTGCTACTGCTACTGGTACTGCTACTGTTCGTGCTAGTCCTCCTACTTCTTCTCGTACTACCACTACCACTACTCGTACTACTACTGCTACTACTACTACTACTACTACTACTACTACTACTACTACTACTACTACTACTACTACTACTACGACTACGACTACTACTACTACTACTACTACTACTACTACTACTACTACTACTACTACTACCACTACTACTACTCCTACTACGAGGGGACCGAACGACTCGCACCAGGACGAGGTGCCCGAACGCCTCACACCACGAGGAGCCCGAACGACTCACACCCGGACGAGGAGCCCGAACGACGCACACCACGAAGAGCCCGAACGACTCACACCAGGAGGAGGGGCCCGAACGACTCACACCAGGACGAGGCGCCCGAACGACTCACACACAAGGAGGAGCCCGAACGACTCACACCAGGACGAGGGCCCCGAACGACTCACACCACGAGGAGCCCAAACGACTCACACCAGGAGGAGGAGCCCGAACGACTCACACCAGGACGAAGGGCCCGAACAACTCACACCACGAGAAGCCCGAACGACTCACGCCAGGACGAAGAGCCCGAACGACTCAAACCACGACGAAGAGCCCGAACGACTCACACCAGGAAGAAGGGCCCGAACGACTCACACCAGGACGAGAGGCCCGGAGATATGCGGGAGCAGGCGGAAACACGCCTGCAAAACACAACTGTCGGCATGCTTCGCAAGAGTTGCTGTTTTGAGATGGGCTGGTGGGGATACGCGAAGCGTGAAGAATTGTTGTAGCTGTAGCTGCGCTAGTAGTAACAGCAGTAGTACTTTTGGTGGTAGTAGTAGTAGTAGTAGTAGTAGTAGTAGTAGTAGTAGTAGTAGTAGTAGTAGTAGTAGTAGTAGTAGTAGTAGTAGTAGTAGTAGTAGTAGTAGTAGTAGTAGTAGTAGTAGTAGTAGTAGTAGTAGTAGTAGTAGTAGTAGTAGTAGTAGTAGTAGTAGTAGTAGTAGTAGTAGTAGTAGTAGTCGTAGTAATCGTAGTACTAGTAGTCGAAGCAATGATAGTAGCCGTAGTAATGGTAAGCGTCGTCGTCGTAGTACTAATACTAGTCGTCGTCGTCGTAGTAGTCGTAGTGTTCGTTGTCGGCGTAGTAGATGTCGTCGCCGTAGTAGTAGCAATTATTGTAGGCTTCATCTTTTTATAAATAATAACCCTCTTCGCAGTCGTAGTAGTCGTAGACGTAATCGTAGTAGTAGAGTAAGTCGTCGTACCCGTAGTAGTGGTAAAAGTAGTCGTAGTAGTGGTACCGTCGCCGTAGTAGCAGTAATCGTCGTAGTACTCGTAGCAGTAGTAGTAGTAGTAGTAGTAGTAGTAGTAGTAGTAGTAGTAGTAGTAGTAGTAGTAGTAGTAGTAGTAGTAGTAGTAGTAGTAGTAGTAGTAGTGGTAATAGTAGTATTGGTATAAGGAGTCATACGACTACTATTGATAAGAGTCGTAGTACTAGTAGTAGTCGTCGTAGTCGTAATCGTATTCGTGGTCGCAATGCACTGCCCCGTCCTGAATCCGTGCGTTTCTGCCACCTCGGTGGCGTCCCTGAAGCGCTCCAAAAGGGCCCCACGACTGCCCAGAGTGGCTCCCAAGACGGCTTCCGACGGCATCAGACGGGCCAGGAACGCCGTAAGACTGCCAAGGGGGCCCACACGACGCCCCCAACTGTCTCCAAGAGGCCCAATGAAGCCCCCAAGAGGCCTCCAACAGGCCCCCCAGTAAGCTCCCAGGAGGCCCCAAGAATAACCCAAAAAGCTTCCCAAAAAGTTTCCCAGAGGTCTCCTCATCCTTCTCCTCATCCTCTTTTCTCGTTCCTCTCCTCATCCCCCGTTTCCTCCCCCACGTGCTCCCCGAAGGGCTTCCGCAACGGTTGGGGGAATGCATGGTCCAACAGCTTTGCCAAAACGTTTGGCCACATTGGCGTATCCTCAAAGACAGGGAGGCGGCGGTGATTCGCCGTAGGCATCCTCGATTTAATATGGTGGCTTTCGGCCCTCCACCTTCTCCTCATCGCCTCCTTCCCGTCTCCTTGTCCTCGATGGCGCCTCACTCCTTGACCATTCCAGGACAGATTGTGGCCACAGGAGCGCTAGCGATCTCCTGTTCATGTTTCGTTTTGCTGTATGGCCCAACGGATACAACACCGCCACGAGAGAACACGACCGAGCGTCCAAAACCGAGACAGATCGATCTCCTCAACCCCGTCCTCCCTCCTCCTCCTCCTCCTCCTCCTCCCCCTCCTCCTCCTCCCCCTCCTCCTCCTCCTCCTCCTCCTCCTCCTCCTCCTCCTCCTCCTCCGCTCCCCCTTCCCCCTTCATCCTCAGGATCCTCCTCCTACCCCACCCTCCCCCTCCTCCCTCCTCTCTACCCTGCCCCCACCCCCCTCCCCCGCATCCCTCCTTCCCCCCTGCTGCCATCCTGCACCTCCTGCCGACTCGTCCCGCCCACGACGTGGCGGGCGGGCAGGTCCTGGTCCGCGCGCCTGGCTCTGGTCCCGCCGCCGGCAGGAGGCCTTGTCGATGGCTGGGCTTCCTCCTGGGGAGGCAGAGCATGGAGCATCAACAAAAACAAGGAGCGAGGTCCCACTGGAGCCTTCGGCGGAGCTCCCTATGGGGCTACGAAACGCTGTACTGGGTAGGGGAACGCAGGGAGGAGGGAGGAGGAGGGAGGAGGAAGGAAGGAAGGAGGAAGGAGGAAGGAGGAAGGGAGGAGAACGCAGGGACCGTCTCTTCAAAACGAGGACCAAACACCACAGGATGGCTGGGAAACAAAAACGAGGAGAGAGGGGGGGGGGCGAGCGCGGCGGAGCAGGCGCGGCCGAACCCCAACCCCGAAAGGGTCGGCCGAGGAACTGCTCAGGTAAAGCAGCTGCTAGGGCAACGCACGGTCGAACAAGCCCATGGCTGCACCATGTGGAGGACCCCGGTCGGGAGGAGGGA